GCCGTGAGCGTTTGCAGCGCTCTTCCGACGCTCTGTCAAACAGCTGAATGGTCGGGAGCAACTTTGAGGATTGAAAGTGCTCGACAACGTACACACAATATATAGCCAAGTTTAAAATCCCAAAGGCGCATGCATTGAATGCGCATAGCGAGCTGGCCTATCCAAGTACACACAGAATAGATAAGCTACAGATCGTAGTTATCTCCTCTCTCACTCGCGTGAATTAGGAATTAATCGCCCACTATGAGTGACGACTACCACCCGCTGGCTAAAAAAGGAGCTGAATGTGGGCCTTAGCCACCTCTATGCGTCGGTTCACTGCAATTTTTTTATGAAGTGAATCCAGGTCGACCTTTAGCGATTTGAATATTTGATTCAGGATTAAGCGTCTAGATGGTTACGCTTCACTGGTCACCGGTTTACTAGCGAACAACGCGTAAGGAAAATCGTACCAATGACCTTGAAGTTGTCAAAGTTTTTGCGCACATGATGAAAATCCTGTGCGCTTCACTCTTCAGTCTTATTTTGGAAATGTTGGCCGGCGGAGTCTTGAACTTAGGGTGCAGAGTATGCGGCATCCCGCAGACTCCGGGCTGCCCGTACCGAGCCCTAGATAACACACCTGATGCGCGTAAAAAATGAACGGCCAAGGTCACGGAAAGGCGATTAGAATTCCTAGCTGCTGATTGGCCACTCTCCAATCTATGACGTTTCCCATGTCATATAGCCCACTGCGTCGCCTTAAACGTAAATTTTGGGTCGTCTAACTGTACTCTCTAAGCGCCCTTCCTGAAACCGTCATCTGTTTGGCATAAAGGACATAGGAGACGCAATTTACACGGGGTTCAGGAGACCAACAGGAAGAACATAGGATCCAAATTCAGTCCAAAGGGAAGATGTTTATATGTGCGAGCACGAAGTCCATAGGTTGAACATACCTGATTCGAATCGCCTCGTTCGACTGGAACTTCCTGGCCGCTGGGAAAGAGCACGTTGGTGGGCTGGATCGCAGCCGCAATCTCTGGTGACATTGTGATCAGGTATTCAACCAAAAAGTTTTTGGTTTCGATCCACTGCACCAGGAATTTAGAGACGGGAGCCTGAAGTCGATTGGAGGTGGGTCGAGAAAAGGCGATCATCACCTCGCCCATTCGTTTCTGGCTGAGGAACCTCGGCAAACCCGGAGTCAGTGGAAGTTCTGCGGGAGGGAGGAAGGCGAGGACAAAGGAGCCGTGTAAACATGTCGAGGGCAAGGATTTATCAAAATAGCCAGATTAGGATCTGTGCAGAAACCTGCTTTTACCCCCGAGAGGTGGGCCATTCACAGTTAGGTTTCAGTTTGCGCGCGAGAAGCATTTGGATCGATGCGCATGACCTCGTAATCTGGCTGATAGATGCTGCATTATATAGGTTTTTCTGCGAAGGAGAGTAGCTACCAAAGCATCAGTATCAGCAGCTATTTTGTTAGGCCCTAAATTCCCGCGGAATAAAGCAGTCTTTCTGAGACGTAATTTGATTTCGAGACCCACTCATTTGGCGCAGAACTCATTAGCCTGTCGCAAGGGGTTGGGTGTAGGCCAGCTAAGAATGAGCTCGTCGCTGGTAACATTTAAGTCTAAATCAGCAGTTTTGTTGTAACGAACCACCTCCGACGATAATTGTTTGAACCGACTAAGTCCTGAATCTCGCATGTGACCGTCTCCTTCGCGTCTCGGTGTGGGATAAGTTCCGTACCGACTGTAACGTTTCTCGCCATTTGTGTATCCTTTTCGTTGTCATCGAGTTTTGTAACATTCTTCTCCGGTTGAACTATTTTCGTATACCGTGATTCCATTGTTAGCTTTGCAAATACCTTGTACCGATACATCGTTTCGTTAAGTTTAATCACCTCTCTGGAAACACTCTAGTATCATTTACATCTCTTCCGCTACGTTGCGCCGAAAGTGGAAGTCGCTGGATCGACTTGACACAGCTCTCAGACGAGGTTACGGCCCCTTCCTCTCCACTTAAAAAAGACCTTCGATCCTGTATTGTAACCCTGAGCCTAGCTGCTCGACTCCATTCCGACCGGTCAGAACTGTGAGTTCGAACCATTGCGTGGATCACCATCATTCTCCACCCTTCCGACTGGACAAGACTATGCCTCAGAAGCATAACGTCGTGTTCAACCACCCGCTCGTATGTTCAAGGTCATAGAGCGCAGACACATGCATATCCAGAAAGCTTGTATAATTTGTGGTAGATTATTTTGTTTACTGCGAAGGTTTCCTTGCGCGAACTTCTAGTAGAGGACTAGAATCGTGGGTCGGGGGATATGAAAGGCCTTGTCGGACACTACAGTACAAGTATCCATTACGAGGGAGAAACGCGAATGGCATTGGTCTATGTGAAAAGCAAATTTTGAGAGCAAGCAAGTTCTTTAAAACTTCCGCAGGTAATTGCTTGGCCGGCAAACTTTTCCGGCCAGCTGTTAGTCTTCTAGGCTCGAATCGAGAAAGCGTTGATATCAGGAAAAATAATCTACCTACAGAAAGTATAAGAAGTCACGGGACATTCTAACTGCAAAGGCGTAATCTCTGTCTATGTTTGTTGCAGTGGTGCATATTGGTAAGTTTTACCGCCAAGGTTGGGTGTGTTAGGAGCAGCCCTAACCGACTCGCTCGTATACTAACCTGAGGACTCGCCCCACTCCACACAATCGATTGGCCCATAGGCAGTTCGCGTGACGACATCGTACAAGCTACTGACCACTCAGGTGAATCGGAAAGCCATTCGGTGCGCTACCCACTTAAGGACACAATCGGATTGGACCGATTGTAGTCCGACCTTCTCTATATGCGTATGCTCCTTTTTTGTCCTTAGATACGTTGTTTTAAGTACGCCAATGCACTTCCGTCATTCCACCCAAGCTGTTGAGTTCTCCTTTGGGCATTTGACCGGGGCTTTGTTCGACGGTAAACGCCGGGGTTTTGTGGCAAATTTATAACAGGATACACTAAAATGCCGTAGTTATGGGCAGAATACGGTAATAGCCAACTCCATCCCATATTAAGGGTTGCCTTATCATAAATTGCAAGGGAATAAGACGCGGCAGAGCAGGCACCGCCCTGGAATTTAGTGGAAGATTGCCCGTCATACGGAGTGTACCCACTACCCACAGCCGTTTAACGTAAACCCATTTACTGCCTCTTCAGTTGCCTGTTTGTATTTTGGGCACAGCGGATGGAGGAAGTAATTTC